CTGCCTCCCACAGGTGGGATGCAGCTCTCAGAGATCAGAACCCTCCCCCAGCACGGTGCCCAGAGCCTCCCGATGCTTGTAGGGGGCCGTCGCTGCTTATAAACTCTGCTTGGGGTTACTGGTTGCACGAGGCTGTGTGGAATGGCCATTCCCCACAAAAGTTTTCAAAGAGTAGAACTGGGGAGTCGCGACTTGTTTTCAAGTCATGCCACATAGCTCCTCTTCTCCACGATGGTGCCCATGTTTCCGACCCCGCTCTGGGTCCCACACAGGCGGTGCAGACTTGACCAAGGCCCAGGGCACGCGGTGCCCAGGGGATATCGCATGTTGCCACCTTAAGGGAGGACTCAGTCACCTCGCGGAGGTCTTCCCCTGTTCACTGCCCACCTCATGGCCCTGATCTGAAGGGAGCGCTCACAGACCCCTCCTGCGAGGATGGAAACAATGCTAAGCAGTGCATTTACATAGCACCCAGGCTCTGCCCTGGTGGAAAAAGGGGTGGGTGGGGCTCTGGGGGGGAAAAGGGAGGCAGGAAACCTCAGACCCAGCCTGGCACCTCTCAGCGAGGGTCTCCCGCCCACCTGCCACCCGTCCCTAGGAAGACATCAAATGCAGCTCCTGACCCCCCCCTCCTCCCCCCAAGACCTGCTCATCAGAAGCCAGTGATGGTGGGCGGGAGCAACGCACTTAACTGCTTACAAGCCCCTACCCCACACCCCGCCATCACCCCGGCATCTTGCACTCAGAGCTTGCAGAGCACCGAGCTGGCTTTCAGTCCTGCCTGTACCCAAACACGCGACCAGACGTGAGCTACCTCCGTGGGTCTCTATGGGGTTCCCTCTCCTCATTTGTAAGAGGGGAATAGTTAGTTAGTTGTGCTTACAGTGCCCGACACGATTCCGTGTGCTTCACACATATCAAGGCTTCATTCTGAGACGGCCCAGCACATAACCACCATTATCACCTCCGCGTGGAGGAAACCGAAACACAAGAAGGCTCAGCGACAGGCCTGAGGCCACGCAGCTCAGCAGGGGACAGAGGGTGGCCTGAGTCCCCCCCTCACCCCAACATCACAGGCCCCGAGAGGACCAGGACGGGCTGCACGGAGCGGGTGGGTGCTCTCTAGAGTGGGGAAGAGCATGGTCACAGACATGAAAGTGCCCGTGGGAGGGGTGCCCCAGGCAGGAACCTGCATCAGACCTTGGTCAGGATCCACTGCTGGCCTAGAAGATGGGCTGCGGTGGGGCTCAAGCACACCACACCCTTTGTGGTACCACCCGTGGCTGCCACAGAACAAGATCTAGTCCAGTGATGGCAAACCTATGACACGCATGTCAGAGGTGACACGCAAACTCATTTTTTTGGTTGATTTTTCTTTGTTAAATGGCATTTAAATATATAAAATAAATATCAAAAATATACATCTTTGTTTGCAAATATCAAAAAATTTCTATAAGTGACACGGCACCAGAGTTAAGTTAGGGTTTTTCAAAATGCTGACACGCCGAGCTCCAAAGGTTCGCCATCACTGAACTAGTCCATCAGACCCAGGAGTCTGCGCCGCTCGGAATGGGACCAGAGGTTTTCTAGATGAGTTGACATGAAGAAACACATTCTTCAGTCAGTAGCGGGGCAGGTGGTGCTGGGCTGTGACTGAGCTGCTGGAGGAGGCCGAGCGATTCCCTGCTGGAAGTTGCCTGGTTCAAGGCCAGGCACTGAGGCTGTGTGTTCTTAGGGAGTCTCTCCACGCTGCAGTGGCATCTAAGAGCTGTAAGGGCTACTCAGTGCCCATGTGCCCCATTGGACAGATAAACACACCAAGGCTGCAGGGATCCACGGGCACTACCTGTGCTCTGTGGTGACCACCGGGACTGGGTGGACCTTCTGTCAGGCCAGTGTGCCCAGCCCTGTCTGATTGGCTAGTTGTATGTATATGTGTTTCCTGTAAAAGATACGAAGAGCAAGGTCTGCTGTGACCCCTCTGGGGGCCATGAACTCAGGATGTATAAGCAGCCCTGGCTGGTGTAGCTCACTGGATAGAGCCTGCAGACTGAAGGGTCCCAGGTTCAATTTCTAGTCAAGGGCGCATGCCCTTGTAGGGGGCTCCATTCCCTGGAGGGGGCATGCAGGAGGCAGCCAATCCATGATTCTCTCTCGTCATGGATGTTTCTATCTCTCTGCCCCTCTCCCTTCCTCCCTGAAATCAATCTAAATATTTTTGTAAAGAAAGGGTGTCTCAGCAGAAACCGAAACCGCTGGGTTTAGCTCCTTGCCCACCAACCACACCAAGCTGCGGAGCCTCATTTTAATAACTTGTCCCAACCTGTTGAGGACCAAGTGATCCCTCGGGGAACCTGGCAATTACCTGCCAAGGAGAGCCAGTGGCCTGCCATGGCCGTGACCTTAGAAACCGTCCCAATCTCCCCTGGCCATGTTGCTCAACACCCTCACCCCCGCTCGGTCCCTCCCCTTAACATCAGAATACATGTTCCACATAGAGCGTTCCATGTGATGGGCGCCTGGGTCCGCTCGGTGATTATAAAGGAGATCTACTGAAAGGTTTTCAGCATTAAAAAACAAAAGTAATGCTTCTTTAAGGGAGGATGAGGCAATGAGAAGGGGGCCCTGTCCTCTCTGACCAAGTCATCTCTGTGGCCGGCGAGTCCTGCCTGGGTTTCCTTCCTTCTCTGGATTCATTTCCTACTTTTACACGTTTGCGCATGTTGTCCAATCCGACTCGTTTCTGAGCTGGGCTCTCCGCACACATTTGTTCTTTTGAATTTCATCTTCTGTTCTCACCAAGTGGAGTTTGCTTTGGGCACATTAGAATACGTTCACATTTACACAGCCCAGCGGCTTTTGAAAACGTGGGGTGCTCTTGCCTGATGGGGGTTTGGGGTTATGGAATGGGACCCCTGTCCTATCGCTGGTATCACATAAAAGTGACCCCAGCTGCCCCTGGCTGAGCAGGCTCCTGGGTCCCCACCCAGTCCGTGAGGCAGTGATGGTACCTGCCAGCTTTGCCCACAAAGAGATGAGTTAAACTCTTCCCGGTCTCCGCGCTCTGGTGGTGGAGGCAAGCCTGAAGGCAGGTCTGGCTGCTTCCCAAGCCCATTCGCGCTTCTGAAAACCCTCCCTGGTTCCTCTCTGCAGGCCTGGCGCAGATTCCGCCACATAATTTGTTTCCTTATCCTACGTCTGCAGTGTTCCCTCCGCCTTCCTCAGCACCCCCTTCTCCAGGACACTCCTTAATCTCGTTTAATTCGAAAGCTAGGCTCTCCATACAGCCGGCGGGGGGAGGGGGGTGGAAGTACCTGACAATACACTTGAACTTCAGGAGCAAAGTTCAATGTCCCAGTTGCACTTATTTCACTGCAGGGCCAGAGCTCAGGGGTGACGTAGGCGGGATCCTGGCATCGGATTGTGTTCGGGACGACCATCCTTTCTTCAGAACTAACCTAACTCCAGCACCTTCTCCAGCGCGTCTTCGGTTTTTCCGATGCTGGTGATAAGGCGCCAGGGGTGGGCCGAGCTCCTGCCAAGGGCCAGGCGAAGGCCAATGCCTTTAGGCCAAGGGCCAGGGAAAGGTTTCCCGGCCGAGGTCTAGCGGGTGAGGAAATTCCACAGGAAGCTCACCTGTGCTCTTGCGCAATTGAAACTCCCGACTCTGAGCCCGCTTTTCCGGCTTTGAGCCCGATGTTTCTATGACGGGGTTTTGCTTTTGTTTTGGTTTCCACTCGGTTTTGCTTTAAGGCGAGGAAGGAGGGTTGCTCTGTCTCCCAGTCTTAATCAGGACTCAGAGGTCAGAACCCGGGCCTCGGGGCCGACACAGGCTCTGTCACCCTCGATCACGGCCACAGATAACCGATGCCACGTCTCCTTGTCACGAGCCCTGACCCCTTTCGGTGACTCCGGTGGCTGTGACTCAGTTTTGGTTCCCATCTGCCACCAGGAGGGGCTTACTCCCTGCAGCTCAGTGTCCCCGAGTAACAGTCTGTTTCAAGGAGCTGTTTCCGCATGATGACGTGCTTCTGACTCATTTCTCAGTTGATAGACAAGTCAAACCCTCCTTCGTCTTTCATACCCATCCCAGTACCTATGCTCTCCGGGGACTTGGTCAGTCCGGGACGTGTGATTTGGACGCTGTAGGACATATGAGCCATCAGGGCAGTGTCTTCAGTCCCGGCGTGGGGATGTCCGGATCCGAGAGAGGGGCCTGTTTGGGCCAGCCAGGCTGCCATGCCCGGTGCTGGATCCTTCAGAGTCATCTTACTTGTATATTCTCTAGAACTGAGCTCCATCGGAGCAGCAAGACTTGGTTTTCTGGGTGCCACCGTGCTTGGCCACGAAGTCACTCAGTGAATCACTGCTGACCAATATGTTACCCCAAATTCTGAGTTCTAATGGCCCGCCAGTAGATGGAGTGATAAATGTCACAGCAAACAATTACTGTATTTGCTGATTTGTCAGGCACCACAATATTACCCTGCTCCTACAATTAAGGCAAATGGCTACAGCCAGTGTGGCTCAGTGGTTGAGCATCAACCTATGATCCAGGAGGTCACAGTTTGATTCCTGGTCAGGGCACATGCCTGGTTTCCAGCTCAATCCCCAGCAGGGGGTGTGCAGGAGGCAGACAATCAATGATTCTCTCTCATCATTGATGTTTCTATCTCCCTCTCCACTTCCCTTCCTTCCTGAAATCAATAAAAGATACATATTGTTAAGAAATGGCTAAGGCTGTGAAACAAGGATTGTGCTTACTGACAAAAAGCAAATCCCTACCTTATCGCCTCATCTCTCATCCACAGTAAGCTGTACTCATGTGAGCCAGACAGCGTGCTTTCCTTCTCAAATGCCTCCACGTACATTCGATGAGGACTTACTTTTTCTCTCCCCCTCCCCCACAGTCTCTATCAAATAGATCCCTAACACAGTGCCTCAGTTTCTCCAAAGAGGAGACACTTTATTGAGTCTCGGGAGTTCATGTTTCCCGATTCTGGTGGGTCCTCAGAACTCAAGTAGCCGAACCTCCAACATTACCACAATGCTATCAATGCAGGACCCTCAAGGCCCGGAGAGGGCCCCCGAGGCAATGGCAGTAAGATGGGGTGATGTGAGAGGCAATGGCAGTAAGACGGGGTGATGGGAGAGCCCTTTTCCTTACAAGGTGTCGCCACGTGCTCTCATCCCATCTCCTAAGGACCCTGAGAGAGGAAGCATTAGCCATGTTAAAGGTGGGAAACTGAGTCTAGCAGGCATGCTGGGACTTGCTTGAGATTCCATGAAGCCGTAGACACGGGGGCAGACCCTGAAGGCGGGCCTTATGACCTCAGATGAGAGCAGCCGGGACCAGGGAGGCTCGAGAATGGGGGTGACCACCTTCTGAAGAGAGGCGCGCCGCCTATGTAAATCACTATTTCACAATGAGTGAGGTGTCTCCAGCTGAAAAGTCCCCAGGAGGGACTCGTCCTGGCACCCGAGCCTCCCGGGGCCTTGTTCTACTCCTTGTAAACAAACAAACAAACAAACAAACAAACAAAAAACCCTTTTCCTGTTTCCCAGGACTGGACAGCGACTTCCTGGCCGTGCTGACCGATTACCCATCTCCTGACATCAGCCCCCCAATATTCCGCCGAGGGGAGAAGCTGCGTGTGATTTCTGAGTGAGTTGGCTTTCAAACCTTTACAACAGCCCCCAAAAAGGGTGAACTCGATTGGGGGGCCGTGGTTAGGCTCCAGCTGTAGCTGTGCAATTCCCTACGGGCCCTGATCCCCTAGTGAAGTGAGCCATTGGCCCACACAGAAGACCTTCATGCTTCACCCCGTCCATGCTGCCGGTGCTCTCAAACCTCCAGTGGCTCTCCATTGCCTCCTGGAGAACAATGTAAACTCCTCGGTGGCTTCTGAGGTCTTTTATAGTATTGGTCTCAGCTCCCCCGACACGGGCGCTGCTGATAACATATGCGAGTGCAGGCCCAGGAAGGAGGACCCAGGGGCTGGGGAAACTTCTGATGAATGGCACACCCAGTGTTGCCTTCTATCCTGTTGTCTCTGCCTGGTTTGAAATAGTCTCCAGAACAGGGATGGGGAACCCTTTTTCTGCTAAGGGCCGTTTGGATATTTATAACGTCATTCGGGGGCCATACAAATTTATCAACTTAAAAAACTGGCCTGCTGTATTTGGTCAAACATTTCATTAACTCCCCCTCATGCCTTGGCAGGGCCCCACCACATGATTTCTCAGGCCTCATATGGCCCGTGGGCTGGACGTTCCCCAT